TGTGACGTGGTGGCCGTGTGCCAGAGCCTGCAGCGGGTGGCGGTCCAGTGCCAGCGGGATGCCGAGAGCTGCTGGTATTACCACCAGACCGTGGTGCCCTGCCTGCTCGCTGTGGCGGTGCAGGCCGCCATGCAAGGTGAGGCCCGTGCTCGGGCATGGAAGGGGGCAGTCGGGGGCTTCGGGGCTCGTTGGGGTCAGACCAGGGGGTTGTGGCTGGAAAGCAGCCATAGGGCGCCCAGGACAGATGCTGTCCCTGGGCCTGGGCCGCCCACAGGGCTGGGCCCAGCTGCCCTGCCAGGCGTGGCGCCCCCGGGGAGGCGCTGTCACAGCCTGGAGCATCAAAGGGAAAGTCCCATTGGTGGCAGTGCCCGACCCCCGCTGGGGAGAGGACCTGCAATGGCCACGCCAGCCTTGTAGCCCTTCTCCTAAGCCTGCTGGTGGCCGGGAGCACTCAGGGGGCGCCTGTGGCAGGTCCCCCTGGTGGGCTGCAGGCAGGCTCTGACCTGGCCCTTTCCTCGCTGCTGGCTGCAGAGAACGCCCATTCGCCACTGGGGAAGCTGCTGCTGGAGGAGAAGGTCTTGACTGCCATGGTGCCCATCGTCAGCGCGGCCAGCGCCCACCTGTGCCCTGAGTGAGTAACACCGGCACCCCAGGGCAGGGCACTGGGGCTCTGAACCGGGGCCGCGTCACGGAGCCACAGGGTCGGTGCTCCGGCCCCAGCTTGGGAGGAGCCCGTCAGTGTGCCAGACCCCCTGGATAAGCTCCGCTGCTTCCCCGGCCCTGCAGCCCCCCTTCTGCCCCCCTGAGCTCTAGGCAGCTGGTCCAGCTGAGAGACCCCGAGGGAGGCTTGTGCATTAGCCCCTCGGCCAGCGTTCGCAGCGACTCCCCCAGCGCTCAGACAGTCGGGTTTGTTCGGTAACTGGCCACGGCCCAGGCCGGCCATTGGGTCGCCCAGAGAACTGAAGGTTGCAGCACGGCCCATTCTGGGGAGCCCTGCGCCCGGCCAGACTGTAGGGAGCCCCTGTTCCAGCTCTGTTGGGCTGTGACCTCCTTGGTCCGACTCCCGGTGAGACCCGGCTCCTTCCAGCAGCCCCCTCTGAGCTCCCCACCCCCCTCCCAGCCCTTCGATCTCCAGCTGGGGGGGTGGCTCAGCCTCCCTGCGCAGAGGCGGGGAGATCTCCGTCCCCTGGGGCTCTGGGTGTCAGTGTCCTGGGGACTGGACTTGCCATCGGCGTCTCAAATCTCCACTGATCTGGGGCCAGGCCCAGACAGCCAGGCGACACCACCCTTGTCTCCGCCTGCCCTGAGAGCAAACAGTCCTGTCCCACCCACGGGGGAACAGTGCAGGGGAAACTGAGGCATGCCAGACTCATAAAATATTAAACCTTTTCCACCTTGTCCCATCACATGCCTGTCGTGCTGCTCAGCCCCCCGCTCTGCCTCCTGGGGGGCCGGGGGTTGAGCGAAGAGGGGCTGTTCCCTCGCAGTGGGGGGCTCTGTGACTGGGTGGAAGTGCCACTCTCCTGACCTGCCTGGCCACGGCTCTGAGGCTCCTGCTTGTCTCCCCCTCCCTTCCCGCAGGCTGGCTGCCCAGAGCGTCTCCCAGGTGGTGCCCCTCTTTCTGGACGGGGAGGTCTCCTTCCTGCCCCAGGACAGCTTCCCCTGCCCCTTCCAGCCGTTCCAGGTGAGTGGGGGGGTGCAGGGAGGGGCTGGGGCTGCGGCGTGGGCAGTTGGTGACACTGGCACTGCTCTTCCCTTGCAGGGCGGGCAGCACGTGGCAGCACAGAGACGCCTCGTCGCCCTGCTCATGGCCTTCGTCTGCTCCTTGCCCAAGAACGTAAGTCAGGGGATGGGCCCTCGCCCGGATTCCCGGGGCTGGAGGGGCCGGGTTGAACCAGGGGGCAGTGTGGATGTGGCGTGGGCAGCACCTCGGTGATTGGCAGCTCTGGGGTTTGAGCGCCCAGCGTCCGCACTGGGTTCTGATCTCTTCCAGGTGCCAATTCCCCAGCAGGACAGGCTGCTGCAGGAGCTGCTGGCTCTGAGCTGTTCCTGTGACTGCCCCTTCACTGCCACCGCGGCTGCCAAGTGCTTCGCGGGGCTGGTGAACAAGTACCCGCCAGGTAAGAGGTGGGGCAGGCGCTGGGCCAGCCTCAGGGCGCTCGGCCTGGGCGCTGCAGGACTCCATCAGCCTGTCTCGTCTGTCCCCCAGGGCAGCAGCTGGACCAGCTCTTAGAGACAGCGGTGAACAGGATGGAAGCCGGCCTTGCCGAGGGCCCGCTCAGAACCCAGGCCCTCGCCCTGCTCCTCTGGGTAAGGACAGCCCCCTGGGCTGGAGCCGGCGCTGGCAGTTCCCGCACGGCTCTCCGGGCCCCCGGGGCCAGCTGGCCGTGCCCGCACGGCTCTCCGGGCCCCCCGGGGCCAGCTGGCCGTGCCCGCACGGCTCTCCGGGCCCCCCGGGGCCAGCTGACTGTTCTCTCTGTCCCTGCAGGTGACCAAAGCCCTGGTGCTGCGCTACCATCCGCTGAGCTCCCGCCTGACAGACAAGGTGAGCAGCCAGCCACCCCTGTGGAGACAGTGCGCAGGGGAGGCCCTGGGGACCCTGCCCCAGCCCCTCTCCTTGGGCCTGGGAGAGGCCCTGCCAGCCTGGGTCACCTGCCCTCACTCAGCCTCCCGGTTCCTCTCTCCCCCCTGCAGTTGCTGGGCCTCCTGGGTGACGCAGAGCTGGGCCCCGCGGTGGCCGACGGCTTCTCCCTGCTCATGGCCGACTCCCCAGATGTGCTGCACAAGGGGTGTCACGCTGACGTGCGCATCATGTTCCGCCAGCGTTTCTTCACTGACAACGTGCCCAAGCTGGTCCAGGGCTTCCACGCTGCCGGCCCCGGTGAGCGCGCTGGCCCCCCCCGCCTACCCCGCCAGCCCCCTGCGGCCTGCCCCTCCCCCACACCTGCTGCTCCCACCCCCCGGGTCGCTCCCAGCCCTCCAGGTGTGAACGGTGGGGATCAGCTCCCAGTGTCTACAGGGCCACCAGCTCCGGGGGGTGCTGCCCCCTTGGTGTGTGCATGGCCCCCCCAGGAACGGGGCTGTGACCCGCTTCCCTCTGCTCTCCCCAGGCGTGAAGGCGAATTACCTGAAGGGCCTGTCCCACGTGCTGAACCACCTGCCCAGGCCGGTGCTGGTGACGGAGCTGCCCACGGTGAGCGCTGGGCTGGGCAGGGCTGGGCAGGGCTGGGCCGGGGGTGCCGAGCCGACAGACCTCTCACTGCCTGTCCCCCCCCAGCTGCTGTCCCTGTTGCTGGAGGCCTTATCCTGCCCGGACTGCGTGGTGCAGCTCTCCACCCTCAGCTGCCTGCAGCCCCTGCTGCTGGAGGCGCCGCATGTCATGAGCCTGCACGTCGACACCTTGGTCACCAAGTTCCTGGGCCTGACCTCCAGCCCCGCCATGGTGCGTGCCCCACCCGCTCCCTTCCCCGCCCCGTGCCGCCCGCGCTCACCCCGGCTCTGTCTCTTTCAGGCCATCCGCATCGCTGCACTGCAGTGTGTCCACGCGCTCACCAGCCTGCCCATCCCCGCGGTAAGTCCCCGCTGCGCGCAGGCCGGGGAGACAGGCTGGGCACGCTGTCTGGCCTCGCTGGGGTAAGGCGAGTGCCAGGGACCATGGGGCCGAGCATTGCTCCGTACTGCCCGCGGGGGCGTGGAGGGAGGGGACACTCTCCAGGGCAGTTCAGACATCCCCGTCGGGACCCTGGGGCTGCCAGCCCCCCTGTACGGGCATGGGCCCCTCGCTCCATGGCGTGCAGTGCCCACGCTGACGGGCAGCTCTCTCCCCTCCAGCTTCTCCCTTACAAGCCGCGGGTGATCCGGGCCCTGGCCAAACCCTTGGACGACATGAAACGGCTGGTGCGGAAGGAGGCGGTGGTGGCCCGTGGGGAATGGTGAGTGCAGGGGGGTGCGGAGGGGGCTCCCGGGACACAGCCTAGAGCCCACCCCTGACCGTGCTGTCTCTTCTGTGTCTGCAGGTTCCTGCTGGGGAGCCCAGGCAGGTGAGGCCCTGCCCGCACTGACTGACAATCTAACCAGGAACCCACTAACCAGCCAAGCCTCCCAGAGCGGGGCGGGAAGGACAGCAGCCCCTGCCCGAGGCCGGCCGGCTCCTAGCACAACGTCGGCGCTGCGGGGCGGCCCCGCTCCTGCTGCCTGCAGTGCTGGAGGGAAGGCAGGCGCCGCGCTGCGCCCCCTGGCCGTGCACACTTGTAGGTGGCGCGTGGAATCCATGGGCCAGCCCAATAAACACACGTTTTGCTAATGGCTTGAGTGGGGAAGATGGCTGGGGTGAGGGGCCTGAGGCTGCTGCCTAGTACCCTCTGCTGGGGAGGTGTGAGCCCACCCCACGCCCTGCGGTCTCTCTCTCTCTCTCTCTCTCTCCTCAGGGCGAGGGTTTGGCCTGGCCCTGGGTCTCGCCAGGGCTTGGTCCAGTCTGGCTGTGAAGGCCTCAGGGACCACATGAGCCTGCATATCCCTCCTGCACTCCTCCAGCCGGAGGGGCCCCACTCCCTGCCCCTTCCAGGGCTTTGCTGTATCCTGCAGGCAGGGGCCCTGTTCTGGGAATAGGAGGGCCCTTCTAACGCTGGCCTTCCCCACTCACTGTCCAGCAGCCACACCTGCTCATCCCCTGCTGGCTGTTGGGGTGGGGCAGTGCCCCCTCAGGTTGGGTGCCACACAGCTGCTCCTTTGCCCAAGGTCAGCCCGCAGCTCAGAACTCTGGTCCCTGGGCTTTCGGCCCTGTGCCTTAACTGCTGGCCCCCGCTGCTTCGGCCCCTCGGGCTGGTTTCACTCTGGATGGTGTGTCCTCTAAGCAGCGTGGCCTGACCGACGGGCAGGGTCACTGCTCTCCAGCGGGTAGCCGCAGGGGTGGCTCCTAGGTGCATTCTGCCTCTGTACGGCTTGTGGGCAAAGCTTCCCCTTGCCACTGGGCCCTGGCAGCAAGTAACACTCCAGCTGCATTAGTGAAAAAACGTTTTTATTTCTGGCATTTAAAATCCCCTGTGCGGGAGGGGAGGGGCCCCCTGCCCCGCGTGCCAGCTGGGGAGTCTCTGCTATCCCGCAGAGAGCCGCTCCCTTCCCTGCACATGCTGCCGGCCTGTCCCTGTGTCTCCGGACTGCAGCATGTCCCCCCCCAGGCAAAGCGCCCCAGTGCCAGCGGGCTGCCTGCAGCCACGCTGGGGCTTGCTGGAGGGGTCTGGTGAGCGGAGCTGGGAGGCTCCAGGCAGCCGGCTGGTGCTTCCCTCACGCTGGACACCCCTGAGGAGGATCTGCTAGTGCCAGGCTGGAGTGGGTCCAGGCTCTGAGGGCTGGTGCTGAGGGGCGGGTCCCACACCCTGCGCCTCTGCCCCCACGCCCGTTAGATGGCCAGGAGAGGTGTGCGCGGCTCTGTCACACAGGGAGGACGGTCCCAGCTCAGGCCAGTTCCATGGGGCAGGTGTGTAGATGGCAGCAGGACACGGGTGAGCCAGTGTCTGGGGGAGGGAATAGAGCCCCGTGGTGAGAAGACAAGCCCTGGCTACCAGTCCCCACACGGGCGCCAGGCTGGCTCCAGCCCCTCTGGCCCTGCCCTCCCCCAGTTAGCTTCACAAGGGCTGGGCTCTGGCACTGCAGCAGGTGGTGCCAGTGTCCACCTCACTAGGAGCCCCCATGTTGGGGGGGTAGCCCTCCGTCACACGCTGAGACTGGGCCAGGCTCCAAAATCCTCCATGGGTGAGCACGGAGGCCAGGTGCCAGCTACCGGCCTGGTGAGTCTAACGAAGGGGTGGACGGAGCTTTGCAGTGATCTGCCCCAGGCGGCCCTGAGTCAGCCGGAGAACCCAGGAGTGAGTCCATCCTCCCTGGGCACCTGCCAGGCAGAGCCCAGCCACCCCCTCCCCCCACAGCGGGGAGTCTACCAGTGTGTGTCCATGGGGCACCTGCCAGGCAGAGCCCCAGCCCCCCACTTCCACTTCCCCCTTGCAGCAGGCAGTCTACGTGCACATGTCCACTGGGCAGCTGGCGGGCAGAGCCCCAGCCCACCCTCCCCCTGCAGTGGGGAGTCTACCTGCGCGTCTCCACTCCCAGGAACACCTTCCAGTTGTCCCAGGCGCCGTAGCTGTAGGGGTTCCTGAACACCTGTGACGGAGGGAGGGAGGGAGGGCCGACGTTAGTCCCCGCAGCTCAGCCGCCCCCGCCATCCCAGCCGAGAGCACGGGCCCCGCACTCACTCTGCCTTTCTTCTGCAGCCTCTGCCGCTCCTTCTTGTTGATGTGTCTCTCGATGCTGGTCTCCCCTCGGGTGATGAGGGCAGCGTGCCACAGCGTGAGGGCCCCCAGGGCCAGTGCTACCGAGCTGGGGGGAGAGCAGACAGGGGTGCTGATGGATGGTGGGGGGAGGGGCCAAGCTGAAGCATGCTGGGAACCCCAGCAGGGCCAGCCGCCTCCTTGCCCCAGGGAACCAAGGGAAGCGATAGGGCTCCCAAAGCGTGTCGCTGCAGGGAAAGGCCCAGGCTCGCCTGCCAAGTCAGGGGGCACAGGCATGCTCGCCCTGCTGTGCCAGACACCCCTGTAGGGGCTGGCAGGTCTGCGCTGACTGGACCCAGTAGCCCAGCCCTGGACGTGCTCCCAGCCCAGTTACCTGCACAGGACCCAGAGGTAGACTATGCTCTTGTGGAAGGCCCGCTGGCGGAAGGAGAAGGCGGGGGGCGGCGTCTGGTAGTACGTCTGAAAGGAAGGGCATGCGGGCAGGTTAGTCCAGACTAATGCTGGGCCTCCATAGCTGTTGGGGGCTACTCTACCCCCCCCCCCCCGACGATGTAAATGGCCCCCAGGGCCCGGGCAGCCAGAGCAGATGGATGGACAGACAGTGCATGGCCGGACAGACACCTTGCAAGAGACAGCAGCAGCGCGAGCACAAAGCGTTGGGCGTGTGGCTGGTTCAGGGGAGCGATGGGACAGCCGCCAAGCAGGGCCTGCGGGCATTGCCAGAGCAAATGGCACAGATGGCACCCGCTGCGCCCCCAGACCAGGAACCCGCGTGGCACATGGGGAAGAGCTGTTCATACAATGCCGAGGTACTGGGGCAAGGTCCTGGCAGAGCCGCCTGGCCCATCCCAGCTCCTTCCAGCCCCTGCTCCAGCACAGACCACAGAGTGACTATGTAGCTGGCTGAGACTCCAGCTCCCAGCATGCAGTGCTCCAGGACAGGGTGGAGCAGTGCATGCTGGGAGCTGTAGGCTCAGGGGGCAGCACCTTTTGCAGGGCTCTGGTGGACCCCCTAGACACAACTCTGCCCCATGTTGCCTTCAGCAGCTAGGGGAGCGGGAATATCCCACCTGGTTGGCCGCCACCTGCAGCCTCTCCTTCTCAAGCATTTTCATTCTCTATTGGACGGAAAACATAGGGCAGCAGTTACACGTCTCACAGCAGGGGCGCCAGCACCCTCCCCCACGTGCCCAGCGTCCTTTGGCCCCACTCACCGGGGCGGGGCTGGCCGGCCCCTCTGCCCTGTAAGAGGGGGGACCTCGTTCAGCATGCGGCCAGGCTGCCAGCCCAGGGGCAGGGGTTAAGCCCCAGGGAGAGGGTGATGGGCCCAGGACAAGGGCCTGGGCCCAACAGCCACTAACGCCCTTGGCTGGCTCAGCTGAGCCCCCCCCACCGGCCTGGGGCCCCAGTCACCTCAATGGCAGCATAGGCCTCGCGGAACATGTCCCAGCTGCTGATGCCGCAGTAGATGCAGCCCATGGTCATGAAGAGGCAGAAGGAGAAGAAGTAGCGATGGTTGTAGTGTCCCACGCAGTTATTCAGCCACGCTGCGCCTGGGTTAAAGATGTGTAACGGGCCGGCGGGTACGGAACCCCTCGGAGCCAGGCTGGCCCCTGCCCAGGAACACCCAGGGAGCTCCTGCAGCAGGAAGGGGGGCAGGAAAGCAGCCCCACAGCTTAAAGCGGGAGCCCCAGCAGGCACTGCCCCATCTGGCGCTCACGGAGCCTAGCAGGCTGGGACCTGGCGTCTCGCAGGGCTGCACTTTTCAACCAGAGGTGCCCAGAGTCCGACAGGACGGGGTCACTGCCCGGCAAGTGCACCGAGACCCACAGAGTCCTCAGGAAGGTGCAAACCCCCCTCCTCCCCCTTGATCAGCCCAGCCAGAAGCCGCCCTGCGCCCAACCTGCCAGGTGCTGCCTGTCTGTCCACCAGCCATTCCAAGGGCAGGTTTCCGTGCATCCCCTTTCGGCAGCGCCAGGCATCACGGATCCCCTGCCCAGCCTGCTGCACCCCCCCGCCCATCGGCACCACTCGGGCATGAAGAGCTGGCCCCCAGAATGCCAGGACAGCACAAAGACTGCCCCCCCATCCTACTGCTCCCCGTGCTGGGCAGGGGCTGCAGGGGTTCGCCTTTGCGGAAGGATACGGCAGTGATGGTCCATCTTCAGCACACACCTGGGAGAAGGAGAGCGGCACATGCTGAGTGCCATACACAGCAAGCCCGCGGCCGGGCTGCAGAGACGGGCACCAGCTGGGGTCTCCCATCTCAGCACAGCCTACCGGGACTGAGGCAAGAAGCCAGCGGAGCAAAGGGGGAGAGGACAGCTGCTCACCTGCTGCAGGTGCCCAGTGGTGCAGGGGGTGGGGAGCCCCTACCCATTGCAGATGCTGCAGTGGTGGGGGGGGCTAAGTGGGGGGAACCCCTACCTGTTGCAGATGCTGCAGTGGTGCGTGCGGGCAGGCTTGGGGGAGATGCATTTCCTGCAGATGGAGACGGCCACGGTATTGCTCTTGGCCTGTGGAGGGAAGGGCAGGTAGGGCCGTCACCACTCAGAGCAGCTTCCCGCTAGGTCCCTTGGCCAGCCTGCTCAGGGCTGCCCTCACTGTCCCACCAGGACCCTGCTCGCCCCTTGCCCAGAGCCCTGCGCAGGCTCCTCACCATCCGCCTTCAGCCACGCTGGAAACAGGCCCTGGCCCCAGCGCTGCCTGAGCCCCACGGATCCGAAAGGCCGGGCAGACGGCTCTGGAGAGTCCAAGGAAGTGGTGCCAATGGGCCTGGACCAGGGGTGGCTCCAGGCATCAGCGCAGCAAGCGCGTGCCTGGGGCGGCAAGCCGCGGGGGGCGGTCGCTGTGCGGGTGGCAGTCAGGTGGCATGCCTATGAGAGGTCCGCTGGTCCCGCGATTTCGGCAGCAATTTGGCAGTGGGCAATTCTGCGGGACCGGCAGATCACCCGCAGAAATGCCGCCGAATCCGCGTTACCAGCAGACTTCCCGCAGGCACGCCACCGAAGGCCGCCTGACTGCCGTGCTTGGGGCGACAAAAAACATAGAGCCGCCCCTGGCCCGGCCGTGGCCACTGCTCCCTGAGATGCACCAAGAACCTAATTGTCCACAGCACCCCCTGCTGGGAGAGGCTGGAGTAGCCAGGAGCTCCCCCCACAGCCAGCTCCTGCCCCGCTCCCCACAGCGCCCCCTGCTGGGGGAGTCTGGGGCTGGAACAGCCGGGAGCCCCCCCCGCCCCACAGCCAGCGCCCCACCCCGCTCCCCACAGCGCCCCCTGCTGGGAGAGGCTGGAGTAGCCAGGAGCTCCCCCCCACAGCCAGCTCCTGCCCCGCTCCCCACAGCACCCCCTGCTGGGAGAGGCTGGAGTAGCCAGGAGCTCCCCCCCACAGCCAGCTCCTGCCCCGCTCCCCACAGCACCCCCTGCTGGGAG